AGGCCACGAAGGGCGACATCGGGGACACAAAGGGAATGCGTATGGGGCCACGAAGAGCGCGAACGAGCGGGGGCCACGAAGTGCGGATAATGCGGGGCCACAAAAGACAACTATGGGGCCACTGAGGGTAGCAACTGGGCCACGTAGGACAGTGAGGGGGACACGAATGGCGACAGCGGGGCCACGAAGGGCATGCACATGGGGCCACAACGGGCGCGACTCCTGGGTGCCTGGGTGTCGGGAGCGCGGCGCTTGGGCAAATTGCAGGAAATCCCAACGCAAGGCCATTCTTCAGTAAGTTGCATGCAAGTCTCCAGCGAGAGCGCGACTACAGAGCGCCGGGAGAGCGATTCCAAAATAACTTGTAAGGAAGTCCCAAGCGAGAGCGCGACTCCTGAATAAAATGCGAGAAAGTCTCGGGCGGGGGGGGGTCCTGGCTAAATTGTGGGGAAGTCTCAGGCGGGAGCCGTTGTTGTTGTAACCCGGGGGACAGGGGGCCAGTTTGAGCAGGAAGATTTTCCCTGTCAGAAAACAGGGTGTGAGCGTTGAGGGGCACACTTTGATTAAGAAAAGCTGTATGCACCGGTGGGGGGATCTACAATAATTATTCTTCAGGCATGAGAATTCAACAACAACAGCAACAACAACAGCGACAACAACGACAACAACAACAATAATTTTAAGACTGATCGCCCTTGTATGCCCGAGTGTCCAATAACGCGTATTCCCCAAACCCTCATTACCCGCCCCCTTCGTCTTCGATCGACCCCCTTTTGGGGGGTATACCTTTCTTCCCTGCAGGCGGGGCCCCGGCCGGCAAGCGGCGGGGCGGCCGCGGACCGTCGGCGTGGCCAGCGGCAGCGCTGATCGGCGGGGCGGCCGCGGACCGTCGACCCGACCCCAAGAGGGACGGACAGGGGACCGACTACGACGACGACGACGACGACGACGACGACGACGACGACGACGACGTCGAATACGACGGCGACGACGACGACGACGACGGCGACGACGAGCGAAAACGAGAGCGAGAGAGAACGACAGCAGGGCCACGAAGGGCGCGAAGTAGGCCACGAAGGGCGACAGCGGAGACACAAAGGGAATGCGTATGGGGCCACGAAGAGCGCGAACGAGCGGGGGCCACGAAGTGCGGATAATGCGGGGCCACAGAAGGCAACTATGATGGGGCCACTGAGGGTAGCAACTGGGCCACGTAGGACAGTGGGGGGGACACGGATGGCGACAGCGGGGCCACGAAGGGCATGCACATGGGGCCACAACGGGCGCGACTCCTGGGTGCCTGGGTGTCGGGAGCGCGGCGCTTGGGCAAATTGCAGGAAATCCCAACGCAAGGCCAGTCTTCAGTAAGTTGCATGCACGTCTCCAGCGAGAGCGCAAGTACAGAGCGCCGGGAGAGCGATTCTAAAATAACTTGTAAGGAAGTCCCAAGCGAGAGCGCGATTCCTGAATAAAATGCGAGGAAGTCTCGAGCGGGAGCGGGGGCCCTGGCTAAAGTGTAAGGGTGTCTCAGGCGGGAGCCGTTGTTGTTGTAACCCGGGGGCCAGGGGCCCAGTTTGAGCAGGAAGATTGTCCCTGTGAAAAAACAGGGTGCGAGCGTCGAGGGGCACACTTTGATTGAGAAAAACGGTATGCACCAGTGGGGGGATCTACAATAATTATTCTTCAGAAATGAGATTTCAACAACAACAACAACAACAATTATTAGCACGTGGGGACACTCCGTTCTCACCAGTGCCAGGGTTTTCATAGGAGGCGGGCAATACCCCCACTTTGTGGGGGGGCCGGTTCAAGCTCTACCAAATTTCCAAACGACTCTTCGCCACCACCCACACCCAGCTTCCCGCCCTATGACGTTCGGACACTTCACTTCGTGGCATGCGGACGACCGTGGCTACTATTCAGGGCCCCGCGGCCGACGACGACGGCGTGCGCGCGCGAAGAAAAAACGAATGTGTCCCGCATGGTATTATTTGACAGGGATGATGGCCCTGGCAGGTGCGCAAACGTTGTTGCAGAAGTTCGAACAAGTTGCTCGCAAAAACAAGTTTGGCAGAAATGTTTAAAAAGTGTTGGGTTTCCTACGAATCCGCAAGATGAATTTTTGACATTTTTTTGGCAAAAAAAGCACCATTGGTTTTTTGATGTTTTATGTTAAAATCGCTACGAAAACTAAGGTTTTGGAAGGATTTCGTCTTGCGCGCGCGAATGTCCACTTTACCTTTTTTTTGCAAGGGATTCTTGAAGTTTGGTTATGTTAGAACAAGAAGTGTCCACTTTAGCTTATTTTTGCAAGGAAAAGCGGGCCGTAACAAAACAACCGGATCCGGACCAACCCGTTTTGCCTGAGACTTTCTCACGAACATGATGAAAATGTGGCTGCGGCCTAGGCGCGGCGGGGGGGTCGTGCACCAGGGGCCCCAACAATAATTATTCTTTAGAAGTAATAATGTTCAACAACGACAACGGCAACGGCAACGGCAACGGCAACGGCAACGGCAACAACAACAAAAACAACAATAATCCGCATAGCAGAATTCCATTTCAGCCACGCACCCAGGGACAGTGAATGACCGTTTGGCTCAGCCCCTTCACTCTGACAAATGTTTGAGAGAGCGCGTTTCACGGGCGCTTGCCTTGGGAACATACGGCGGCGCGTGTCTAACCGGGGAGTGGGCCCCGTCCTCCAAACATTCGGTGCCGTCGATCAGAACCAGGGGGGACCCCCCTTCCCCCCCTACCCCCACCTCTCCCGATCCCCCCCCCTTCCAAGGGTGGGGGGGTCCAAGCCCTCCCACCCTCGGCGCTGGCGCCGCCGGCGCCCGCGCCGACGGCCGCCAGCAGCGCCGACGGCGGGGAGGCAGCGACGATGACCAGAGAGGGCCCAGGGGGAGGGGGGGGGGGATCCAAACCCCCCCCCTGGCGCCGGCGCCCGCGTTGGCGGCGGCCAGCAGCGCCGACGGCGGGGACGCAGCGACGATTACCACCACTACAACCACTACCACCATCACAACCACACCACCACCACACAATCACAACTACCACCACCACAGCCACCGCCACCACCACCACGGCCACCACCATCACAACTCAGCACCACCACCACACCAACAAAAACACCACCACCACAATCTACCACACCACCACCACCGCCACAACCACCACCACTACCAGCAACACGACCCACTACCACCACAACAAGCCACCACACCACCACCGCCACCACCACCACCACACCACTACCTCCACAAACCACCGCCACCACCACAACCCACCACCACCACCACCACAGACCACCACCACACCACCAAACCACCACCACCACCACAACCCACCACCACCTACCACAACCACCACCAAACTACCACATCACCACCACCACCACCACCACAAACCAACACCACAACCACCACCACAACAAACCACCACAATCTACCACACCACCACCACCACCACCACCAACCATCACAACCACCACCACCAGAACAACAAACCACCACAACAACAACCACCACCACCGCCACCACCACGTTCACCACAACCCACCAACACCACAACCACTACCACCACCACAACCACCACGACAAACCACTCCACCACCGCCACCAACACCACCACCTCAACCCACCACCACCACAACTACCACCACCACCACCACCACCGCTAAAAACCACCCCACCACCACCAGCACCACCACCACCACAACAACCACCACCACCACCACCACCACCAACCACACCACCACCACCACGGCCACCACCACAACCACCACCACCACAGGCCACCACCACCACCACTTCAAAGAGGCCCCAACAGACGCTCAAGAGGTGCCCAGAAGGCTGCACAAATGCCCTTCAGAGGCCCCCGAGAGCCTTTCGACGAGACCCCAAGAGGCATCCATTAGGACTTTGACCCAAAACCAAGGCACTGTAGCGGAGCGTCGTCGTCGTCGTCATCGTCGTCGCCGTCGTCCTCCTCGACGCTCCCCGCCGCCGCCGCCCGCCGCCGCAGGCGCCGGCGCCTGCCCAGAAAAGGAGGGGGTCGTCCCCGCCGCCGCCGCCAGCCGCCGCCGACGCTGGAGCCAGCCCGAGTAGAAGGAGAAAAGGGAAATAGGGGAGGGGGGGGAGGGCAGGTGGGGGGGGTCAAAACCCCCCTCCCTCCTCCGTCACGGGAAGGAAGGGGGCGGATCGAACCCCCCCTCTCCATCCAGGAGGGGGGGGGGCTGGTTCCACCCCCGCCCGTCGAACGACCACAGAACGCGCTCTTTCGAATATTAATTTCTCACCGAGCGCGCTCCACTACTCGCAAAAAGCGTCTACTCGTAATTGTTCGAAACAGTTATTTGTTCGCCTCGATGTAATCGATCAAGCATTCCCCGCGGCGGACCGAGGCCATTTGTGCGAACAGTTTTTTTGCGCGTCGTGGAACGAGCTGGTCCCACGTAAAATCTTAATCTAAAACGTGTACGTGTGTACGCATGTTATTTATGCACGTATGCATGTGCGTTGCCATGCATGTGTGTATGTATGCATGGTTGCATGTTTGTACGTGTGCACACAGGCATGCATGGAGGCATGTATGCAGGACTGCACTGCGTGTATGCATGGATGCGTTTATGTAAGTATATATGTATGGATTGTTGTATGTTTGTACATGTGCAACTGATGATGTGTGTTCGTGTGCATGTATATGTATACATGCATGTATGCATGCATGTATGTATGTATGTATGTATGTATGTATGTATCGATGTGTTGATGAATGTATGCGTGGTTGTATGTTTGATGTATGCATGCACGTGTGTATGCATGCACGCACGCGCGCACGCATGTATGTATGTATGTATGTATGTATGTATGTTTGTATGTATGTATGTATGTATGTATACCTCGGCGAAAATATTACCGCGCCCTGCTTGCATTGCAGCTCCGGGTCCTCCCTGCCCCCCCCTCGCCACCCTTCGCCCCGCCTGCGTGCGCGAGAGGCGCCCCGCCGGCGTGCCCGCCGGCCTCGGGCCGCGCCGACAAGGCCCGCCTCCCGGGAGGGGGAGAGGGGAGAGACTCCCGCGGGCGACGGCCCAACCAACCTTTATAGCCACCCCCAACCGTCGCCCCAAGCCGTGCGTATGCGGCCGGAGGGGAGCTCGAAGGGCGGGGACGACGGTGAGCTAAGGGTCGGTGGGCTAAGGGTCGGTCGGGCCGCGCCCGAGGGGAAGCTGCCACCAGGGGCGGCCAAGAGGGGGGGGGGGGATGGTTGGGGGGGGCGGGCGGCCTCCCGTGCGGAGGGGGGAAGACTTTCACCGGGGGCGGCCAAAAAGGGGGGGGATGGCGACCCTCAGGGGCGACGATAGGGGGGGGATGGGCATAGGGGGGACGCATCGATCCCCACATTGCCCATTGATCGCCGATAGGAACCCGATTGCCTCAGCCTGCCCAGGAAGGTGCGGATTCACGATCGTGGGCCTATCGCCGATATATCGGCGATGTATCGCCGTTTCCAGGTCGATGCATGCCCCCTTATGCCAGTCTTCGCCTATCGTTGCCCCTCATACCCAGACTTGATCGCATCGTGAAAAAGTCAGGACGGGAGGTTTGGGGGCTATTTTCGGCCCCGAGGGGCCCTCGCCAGGCCTCGGGACCGTCAACTATTTTCGGTCTCAGGGACAGGACAGGGACTTCCGCGGACGCCGTCCTGAACAAAACAGGACTTCGCATGCCTGGGTATCTTTGCGGGGCCATGATCTCGCCCCAGATTTCGTGGCGCCTCTTCTCATCCCAATGCGTCCGCCTGGCCCCCCCCCCCCCTAGGGCCGCGCACGCGCCGCCGGCCATGACGTGCCTCCCCCCCACCCCTTCTCGGACGCTCCTCTCTTGAGTGCCCCCGAGAAGAGGTGGCCCGAATGTCGTGCTCAAGGAGGGTGGGGGTCACAACCCTCCAAGACTGGCAGGTTCAGGCCCTCCCCCCGAATTGGCCTGCCATGAAAGGGCGGCCCCAGACCCCGGGAGGGGAAGAAACACAGACACAATTAATCGTCGATCCCCTCCGGAAAATGTTTCATGGAATCCGGAATGTCCCATACTGCTAATTACCCTTCTCTCGTTTGCCCTTTCTTGTTGGGCCTCCCTGGAGGCCCTCGTCGCCACCGCTGGAGTCGCCTCGAGACTCTGTGAAGGACGCGCAGTAGGAAAGGTCCAGGGAGTATAGCAGTATCGGTGCTTTTTGGTGTCCCAAAGATCGGCCAGAGGATCGGGGACACGTTTGGCGACGAAAAATGAACTTTACGCGAGTCCTAACCTCCCCCGCCTCCCATCGATTCAAGAGAATCGATGGTTGGGGAGGGGTAGTGTTCGGATGTCGCCACCTAAACGTAAGACCCGAGTTTCCGGTTTTCGCGAGATGTATCGAGAGATCGCGTCACATTCTCAACGCTTCACGTACCTCCACCTGACCATCTGGGACGATGCCTGGGGGAGCTACTCTGATCGGGGTAGCGTGGCATCACTTGAGAGTTCGGGGAGCCTCTTTGGGCCAGAAGTCTCTTGTGCGCTGTTGTTGTTATTGGTTCTGTTGTTGTAGCTGTTGTCGTTGCAGCTGTTGTTGTTGTCAGTGTTGTTGTTGCTGTTGCTGTTGTTGTTGTTGCTGGAGTTGTTGTTGGTGGTGGGGTTGTTATTGTTGGTGGTGGTGTTGTTGGTTTAGTGTTGTTGTTGGTTTAGTGTTGTTGATGGTGGTGTGATTGTGGTGTGTGTGTGTTCGTGTTGATGTTATTGCTGTGTTTGAAGTTGTTCGTGTTGTTTGTGTTGTTCGTGTGGTTGTGGTTATTGTTGGTGTTGTTGTCGTGGTTGTTGTGTTTGTTATTGTTATTGGTTGATGTTGTTGTGGTTGTTGGTGTTGCTGATGCCCTTGTTGGTATTGTTGTTGTTGTGGCTTCTGGTGCTGCTGTTGTTGTTGTTGTTGCTGTTGCTGCTGATGTTGTTGTTTCTGCTGTTGGTGGTGGTGGTGTTGATACTGGTGTTGTTGTTGGTGTTGGTGGTGTTGTTGTAGGTGTCGTTGAAGGCGTTTGGGTGGTGTTGCTGTTGTTCTTGTTGTCGGTGTCGGTGGTGCTGGCTGTGTTATTGCTATTGGTACTGTGATTGTTTGTGGTTGTTGCATTTCTGCTGAGATGTAATGGTTGAAGAAAAAATCATATTGATCCCCCCCTCCGGCGCACATTGTATTTTTCATGTGAAGTGCCCCTCCCGGAGCTCGCACCCGGTTTTTTTAGCAGGGGAAGTCGCGAGTCTCAAATTGGGTTTTGGGCCCCTGAACTACAGCAACAATGGTTCCCGTTTGACACTCCCTCACAATTTATTGCCCCTCCCTGCTCCCGCTTGACACCTCCTCGCAGTTTAGTGAACAATCGCGCTCTCGCCTGCGACTTCCTTGCAATTTACGAAGACGCCGCGCTCTTGCCATTCTGGTATGCGCTCTCGCACAGAATTTCCTTATAGTGCACTTGGGAGTCGCAATCTCGCCCGAGACTTCCTTGCAAATCATACAGGACTCACGCATTCGCGACCCGCCCGCTCGACCCGCTGCTTTTCGCCTGTTCCGATGCCCCTCGCTGCCCCTCGCGATACCGCAGTCGGATTTGAAGGCCCCGCCGCTGCCGTCGTGGCCTCCTCGATGCACTTCGTGGCCCCGCTATTTGAGCCCCTCGATGCCATTCGTGGCCCCGTGGTCGCCTTTCGTAGCCCCCTCGCGGACCTTCGTGGCCCCAGTGTAGCTCGTCTCGGCCCTCTCGCTGCCCTTCCTGGCCCCTTTGCAGCCCTGAGGCTACGCCAATTACACGTGGCAGGGACGAATGACATCCCCTCTAAAGGGGGTGCGATCGAAGACGAAGAGGGCGTGTATCCAAGGTCTGGGAAACACATGTTGATTGACACGCACGCGTACAACAACGATTAGTCTTAAAACGATTGTTGTTGTTGCTGCTGTTGCTGTTGCTGTTGTGGTTGTTGTGGTTGTTGTTGTTGTTGTTGCTGAACTCTCACTTCTGAAGAATAGTTATTGTTGATCACCCCTGCCCGGTAACCATTAAATTATTCAACTAGATCGCTTATCCTTGGGCTCGCACCCGGTTTTTTACAAGGGAAATATAGGTGTCACCAAATTGGGACCCTTGGCCCCAGGTTTACAACAACAGCAACGGCTCCCGCCTGATACTTCCTCACGGTTCATTTTCAAATCGCGCTCTGGCGTTTGACGTCGCGCCCTTGACACTCAGGAATCACGCTCTCGCTGTGGATTCCCCACGATTGATTTGGGAATCGAGCTGGTGCTCGAACCTTGGTGACATCAGTGATGTTGGCATGTGGGGGCTCTTGGGACCTTTTGGGGGACTCCTGGGAGCCTCTTGGGGGCATCCTGGGGGCCTCTTGGGGCCTCTTGGGGCCTCTTGGGGCCTCCTTGGCACCTCTTGGGGCTCTCTTGGAGCGCCCTTGGGAGCCTTGGGGACTATCTTTGGGCCATCTTGGAGGACATCGATTAAACAAGAAGGGAACGTCGATTAGGGTTGCCCCCCCGCCCCCAGAGGCCAACATGGGGCCAAATCCTTAGTAAAACCAGTAATCTTGGCTTCCTCGCCGAGGCCGTTTTGGACGCTCTGACACCTCGCGACGGGCCCCGTCCAGGTTCAGGGGAGGGTGCAAGGGGAGGGGTCAAGCTACCCACCCGCCCGCAAGCCGTCTAGCTCATTCCCACACGCCCTCCCAACGAATGATACCGGAGAAAACCCCTAATCAGATTGTTTTAATCTTCCAATTGCTCCCTTATAGGGCTATCGGGCTACAGGGCCCTAGGGCTATCGGGCTATGGGGCTATAGGGCTATCGGGCTATAGGGCTATATAGGGCTATAGGACTGTGACCTATAGGGCCATAGGGCTATAGGGCTATGAGGCTAAAGAGTTATATAGGCTATGGGGCTATAGGACTATATGGATATAAGGCTATTAGGGCTATAGGGATATAAGATAAGGCTATAGGGCTACAGGGCTATAGGGCTATACGGCTATAGGGCTATAGGGCTACAGGGCTATAGGGCTACTGGGCTATTGGGCTATTGGGCTATTGGGCACCCCCGAGCACCCGGGCACCCCCGGGCACCCGGGCACCCCGGCACCCGGGCCCGGCCACCGAAATCGGCCACGCACCTCACCGGCCACCCGGGCACCCGGGCACCGCCGGGCACCCGGGCACCCGGGCACCCGGGCCCGGCCACCGAAATCGGCGACGCACCTCACCTAACCCTTTAATCCGCTAGGACCCCGACAGAGGCAAGCTCTGATTAGGAAATAAGTAACACCTGAGCCTGAGCATGTCCAGCGGTCGTCATTGGATGGGCAGCTACTGGAAACCAAAGCCGACCCCAGGTGCGCGACGCTTGGGCGAGGTGCGCAACGCGTGCCAGGGGCGCCACGCGCGCCAGGCACCCCTGGGGCCCGAGTGTGCCAGGCACGCCTGGTGCACCAGATGCGCCACGTGCTTCCAGAGCGCCAGGTGTGCCGCACACTCCAGCCGCGCCAGGTGCGCCACGTTAGGGATAAACCCCTCCCCGAAGGGCAAGAGGGGCAGATGGAAAAGCACCCTAGACCGCCTATTCCCCAAAGGGCTGGTGGGATTATTTCTGGTCCTCAAGGCTAAAGTAGGTTGGAACATTATAAGCCCCCCCCCCCGCGCGGCCCGCGCAGGCCCTGGGCGCGGCCCACATGGCACACGCGCCCCCGCAGCCGGCCCCCGGCAGCGGCTGCGCGGTGCCGCGGGAGGGCAGGGTTGGATGGGCTTACTTTCCACCACCACCACCACCACCACCACCACCACCACCACCACCACCACCACCACCACCATAGGTAGGACGGGGGAGAAGGGAGGATGGGGAGGTCTTCCTCCTCCTCCTCCTCCTCTTCCCTTTCCTACATTTGGAGGGCAGGGCCTGTCAGGGGCACATCCCCTCTCATCGAGCGCGTTCCCAGAGATCCAGCGTATCGAGAAAACCAAGGCGGAAGTTTTTCGTACGTTTCGGCCTCGAGGGGCCCTCGCCGGGCCCTGGGACCGTCAAGAAACGACTCGGGATGAGAAGCCGGTCCTGCGGACTGGGTCGAGACTTCTGGGGACCCCGTAATGACAAAAAACGGCATCGGATATTTGCGTTCCACTACTCGCAAAAGCGCCAACTCGCAAGCGTCCGAACCACACAAGGCTGCATCGATGGAAGGTATCGTAAATCCCCCATGGCAGATCCAGGCCATTTGCGAGCAGTTACTTTCGAGTAGTGGAACGCGCTCGTCTGCCCTCGGAACCTGGGAGTTTTAATGTCCCCTGGGGGTTATTCGTTTGCAGTCGAAGAAGAATAAGCGTTGTAAGCATACTTTGTTGGCGTTCCGCGCGGATTTCTTGGATCCGCGCTGGGCCCCTCCTGGCGGCGCCTCCGGCGCCGCCCTTGGCGCGCTCCGCGCCCCAGGGGCGGGGGTCCAGCGCAGATCCAAGAAGTCCGCGCGGAGTGCCAGAAGTTTGTGTCTGTGGCGTTTGTTCCTTCTTGGCGTTTGTTCCTTCTTCGATGTCCTGGGCGTGTCTCCCCAGATCCCCGGAACTGTGTTATCCCCCGAGGGTTATCATCGGTTGCACAGGGTTAGTCAAGCAGTGGCGAAGCGCCGTAGCTTGCCTAGAGACCCACCAGAGAAGTTTCTCAAAACCGTCGGTGGTTTGCACAACACGTTCTCAGAGCACGTCTGGCTGAGACTGTCTTGGATTAAACCATCGCTTATCATGTTCGGACTTTTGTCTTTCGAAGGACAGAATTTGAGGGTAGGCCTATAGAAATACCGGACGGTCGGTCCCTGCTCAAGGTGAGTCAGAGCCCAGAGTCATCAAGTCTAGTCCTCCCAAACGGGGTCCGAGTAGATGGGATCGGAGGATCGTGCCGCATCGCCAATGCATTGGCGGTGCGGCTCGATATGGAGCCCGATGTTGTCCACGCCAACGTCGGCGATGCGGCACGATCTTCCGACCCCATCTATCCGGGCACCATCTGGGATGCCTCTATCATGGGCGTGGGGTGGTCAGGGGTCGCTCCCGATTCGTGCCTCGGGGGCCCAAGTTCAAGCCAGAGTCGCCCCAGGCTCGGGCCGGACGAAAGGGGGGGATTGGGAAAGGGAGGGGGACGAAATTTGCTGCATGCAGCTGGTTTCGGCCCCACCGAGGGGCCCATTCCTCGATACATAGCCGCCTTCCGGCGCCGGGAGGCGCCGGGAAAATCAGCTACGTGAGCTGATTCTCAAACCCCCCCTTTGCTATCCCCCCTTTCGCCCGACCCGACAGGCCAGAGTTGTATCCCGGAGACCTCGGGCGTCCAACCGCTCCCGAACCACTGGGGGGGTTGGGGGTTGCCAGGGGTAAGCCTCCCGGTTCGTGCGCCGGGGGCCCGAGCCAGGCTCCCGCGGAGCAGAGTTTTTTTTTTTTTCCCCCAGACAGTTCGGGCGTCCAAGTAGGGGGACCGACCTCTGCAGCCGACACGCGTGTACCTTTTTTCGCGCTGGCGCCTCGCGAGGCGTCGTCGACCTCGGACCCCAGAGTGGTGCGGTGCACAGTATTCAGGAGGGGAAAAAACACACAGACACAATTATTCGTCGATCCCTAGGAAAATATGGGAAAATATGGGAAGTGGTGGGGAAGACAAAAACCCAGGAAATATAGGAAAATATGGGGAATCTTTTGATTTGTGTGTATTTATTTGTGTGTCCCAGTTTCCCTTCAAGTATCTCGGCCCTCGGAGCCGAAGGACTGATGCACTGCGCCGCGCTGGAGCGGGGCCCGAGGAGAGTCCGGACAGAGTACGATGCGCGGGAGCCGCTTCTGGATGGCAGGCTTGGGGGGGATGCATCGGCACCCAATCGCCCATCCATGGGCCCGATGCTCCACCCCTCGCAGCAACGCACGGGTTCGCCTTCTCGGTGGCCCATCGCCGCTCTGCCGGCGACGTATCGCCGATGCCTTCTCGGTGCCTCCCCTCCCCCCTGAGTCGGCCCCCCTCCCCCTACGCTGCCCCTCGTCACGAGGGCCGCCATATGCGGTCTTTCGATGCGTGCACATGCCCGCGTCGGCGGCGAGCCAAGGGGGGGGCACGCTGTTGTCAGTACCCGCCGCGCTCGAGGTGTGCCGTTCTTTCGGCGCGCCACGTGTCTTAGTGGGCCCCGCAAGCGGCAGGGCCGTGGTTGCACCGTTTCCGAAAGCGTGTCGCTTGAGAAGGGGCGCGGTCAAACAGCGGCAGTCGGAAACGGCAACAAACACGGCTCTAGAATTTGAGCCAGAGCTGGAACGGGCAAAGAACCACGGCGACGGAACCGGGAAACAAAAACGGCGCCAGAACAGGCAAACGAAGAAGACGAACCGCCAGAAACATCAATGTTCGGCGCTCCGCGCGGATTCCTCGGATCTGCGCTGGAGGCCGGAGGCGCCGCCCCCGGTGCGCTCCGCGAGCCAGGGAGGGGGGCACAGCGCGGATCCAAGAATCGTATGCCGTTTTCTCTCCGGGGGAAAATTGCAAGACGGAGCCGGTAACAAAAACGGCCCTGTCGTACCCAGGGCCCACTGGGGTCCTGGCCCAAGGTAGTGATGTGCCAACCTACTTTAGCCTTAATTGCCAGAAAGTGTTTCGAGCACCAAGACAGTACCGAAACTGGACGGTTTTCTCGTATCGGGCCCTGGGAGGCGATACTCGTTCGACATTGTTTCGATATTTTTTCTGGGTGCTCGATATTATTTCTGGGATGTGGTCCTTAAGTGCGACGAGAGCAACATAAGGGGGAGGGGGGAGGAGGGAGGACGGGAATGGGGAGGATGAGGAGGAGGAGGAGGAGGAGGAGGAAGAGGAGGAGGAGGAGGGGGAAGAGGAGGAGGGGGAGGAGGAGGAGGAGCAGGAGGAAGGCTTCTCTCCCTGGGCCTCGTGAGGGGTGCGGTGCTCTGGAAGTCGTGTGTGTGTGTGTGTGTGTGTTGCGGCGGCGCGCCGGGGGTCTGCGACCACGCGTGGGCCTCAGCCCTGCCGGGGTCCGCTCGATGCGGAGGTCTCGGGCGCCCCCGCTGGGGTGTGCTTTTCGAGCAGGGGGTCGACTACAGAATCGATTGGCCCCGAGATTGTGTGTGTTTTTTTTGTCCGTGGAGTCTGCGGAGTACACGCCGAATGCTCCGCAGATCGATCGAGCATTCTGTGTCGATGTTTCGTGGATTCGGCCGCCTGTCGATTTGGGGGTACATGAATTCTGTGGTCGATCCCACACTCGAGAACTTGCCGGCGTCGCCGGTGCGTCGCCGACGCCGACGTTGCATCGCCGATGCACATCGGCGATGGGGCGCGATCCTCCGACCGCATCTGCTCCGACCCCATCTAGGAGGCCTCTACCTCTTGTCTGCAGGCAGCCCTCGAATTCGGGGCCCCAGGGCTCGACCTAGAACTTCTAGGCCTCCAGGACTGGGTTCCGAGCGGATGGGGTCGGAGCATCGCGCCGCAGCGCCGATGCATCGCCGATGCGGCCCGATGTGCAGCTCATTGTTCTCCACGCTGGCGTCGCCGATGCGTCGCCGATGCATCGCCGACGCCGAGGTTGCATCGGCGATGCATTGGCGAAGCGGCGCGATCCTCCGACCCGATGTACTCCGACTTCTATCTAGGAGGCATCTAACTCTTGTCTGCAGGCATCCCTCGCATTCGGGGCCCCAGGGCTCTGCCTGAAGGGTGTTTTGGCGACTTCGCGGGCCGTCGTCAGGTTTGGCTGCGTGGTGCAGCGGAGGCGGAGCGAGGCCGAGCCGAGGGAGAACGGAGGCAAGGCGAACCCGAAGAGCACTGCCTGGGCCGAGCCTTGCCAAACTCAGGAGGGGGAAAAAACACACAGGCACACTTAATCCTCGATTCCCCCCAAAACGTTGGAAGATATGGGAAGCGGGGGGGAGGACAAAAACCCAGAACATCTGGGAAACTATGGGGAACATGTGTATTTGTGTGGATTCCTCTGTGTGTCCCCAGGGCCCCTTCACAAGCCCCAGCCCTGCATCGCAGAGCACCGGCCGGCGAGTGGGGTTCGCACGCGGCTGCCTGGAGGGAGGAAGTGATGGGAGTTGGGTCGGTCCTTCTCGGCCCGCGGCGCGGCTTCTTGGGTCAGGAGGGAGAGCAGCACGCAGACACAATCCATCGTCGATCCCCAGGAAAAGGGAGGAAATGATGGGGGTCGGTCCTTCTCGGCCCGCGGCGCGGCTTTTTGGGTCAGGAGGGAGAGCAGCACGCAGACACAATCCATCGTCGATCCCCGGGATAGTGCAGGAACACATATGGGAAGTGGGGGGGAACACGAACACCCATATAAAGTATATGAAAGTATGGAGACTCCTTGGATGTGTGTCTATTCTATACATGTACACACATTTGTGTGTGTATGTCCATCGCTCCCCCCTTTCTTTTTTTTTTGGGGGGGGGGCGAGCCTTCCCGTTCTCTTCAGGAGTCCTTGGTGCCTTCGGAGAGGCCCAGGGAGAAGCTTCTCATCAGAAGGCGGGGAGCCCTCTGCGCCTGCTGAGAGGACCCGCCAATTCAAACTTCGGCCCTGGGCGCGCTATCGAGTCTGCAGTGGAAGCCCATGCCAAGAAAACACCCTGCTTGCCTCCAGGGTGCCTTGGATGTCTTGGGTTTCGATGGACTTGCTATTGAAAGCGTGAGATTCCCACAAAACATCAAAGGACGTCTTGGGGTCTCAGGGTCAGGTTTCTGGTGGAAGGTTTCTTGTGGTCGAGCTCCCACTGTATGTGTGCTATCCCCTTGCTACTGGTAGCCTTCCTGCCGCTCCCCCCCGTGCGGTAAGTTCCCGCGTCTGATGCTTCCCATTGCTTTCCTTGTGTTGTTTCTTCTCCCATCGTTTCGAATTTCTGAACGCTTTTCTGGCCTCGCCATCATCACCACCACCATCGTCGTCATCATCATCATCACCATCATCATCACATTTTTCATCATCACCGCCACCACCATCATCATCATCATCATCAGCATCGTCGTCGTCGTAGTCGTCGCCGTCGTCGTCGTCGTTGTCGTCACCATCAGCATCATCACCACCACCATCATCATCAGCACCATCAGTCGATGCATCCCGCCCGGTTTTTCATCCTCCGTCCTGGCCCTTCTCATGTTAATCACTCAGTGTCATCCTTTTTCTTGTTTATTGGTACCATGCCACTCATCACCCGTACCGTCCTCATCCTCATCTTCGTTTCATCGTTTGATTTATCTTCCTCCCCCACTCGTTGCCAGTTGTCCCGCCCTCCCTCCCCCTTGCCCCTCCTCGTCCCCTCCGTCGTTTCTCCAGCTCTTCCGGCTCCCCTCCCCCATGAATGTCACAATGTGTTATCATCTGTCTTTGACATTCTTCCCCCCTCAGCATCTCCCCGATGTGTTCTTCATCCTCTCATGTACCTCGTGTCCAACCTGATTCACCCCTTATTCTCTCTCCTCTTTCTATTGCTGTCCCTGTCGTCTCTCTCACCTGCACTTGTGCGTTCTCCATTGTTATGCCTCGTCCGCTCGTTGCTCTTCCTTTCCCCCTGCCTTCTTTTCGTCTACTCTTCTCTCCTGCCTCCTCGGCTCTCCCTCCATGTCTCTCCGTGTCGTCCCCCTCCACCTCCTTCTCCTCATCCTCACGTGCGTTTCCCCCTCCCCCCCTTCCGCTCCATCCGCCGTGGTCGCCCCTCGTGCTCGTTCCTCCCTCCTCGCCCGTCACCTGTGCCCACCCCGTTCCCACGCCCTTCCCCCTCCTCACTCGCTCAGAGAGTGGGGATGCGGAAAGGATGTGCGCGTCCTCACCAGACGCGGGGATGCGAGCAGGCAGACCTTGGATTGCCAGAGGCGTCCCTGTCCCCAAGGTGACCCCAGCTTCTCGCTCCGTTTTGGCCCCTCACGCCACTTTGGGCCTCGTGAGGGGCAGGAGGAGCTGAAAGAGCTGGAGGACAGGAGGAGCTGGAGGAGGAGAACGAGGAAGAGGAGGAAGAGGAGGAGAAGGAGGATGGGAAGGAGGAGGATGAGGAGGAGGGGGTAAGGAGGAGGGGTAGGATGAGGAGGATGGGGAGGAGGAGGGGAAGAATGAGGAGGAGGAGGAGGAAGAGGAGGAGGAGGAGGAGGAGGAGAAGAGGGATGATGATCGTGATGTCGATGACGATGATGATGATGATGATGATGATGATGATGATGATGATGATGATGATGATGATGATGATGATGATGATGATGATAATGATGATGCTGATGATGATGATGATGATGATGATGATGATGATGATGATGATGATGATGATGATGCTGATGCTGATGATGATGATGATGATGATGATGATGATGAGGATGAGGATGAGGATGATGATGATGATGATGATGATGATGCTGCTGCTGCTGCTGCTGATGATGATGATGAGGAGGAGGAGGAGGAGGAGGAGGAGGAGGAGGAGGAGGAGGAGGAGGATAGGGAGGATGCCGAGGAGGCAACGTCCGAAAGGAGCATCCTCGCCAGACGCGTGCTCTTGCCACGCCTTTGCTGCTGCGCTCCGTGTCCTGCACCCTCGGGGCGCAGGTGCCCTCGCCGTACGCCGACTTCGGTGGCGCCTGAGGGGGTCGGTGCGTGGGCGCGGGCTCGCGCGAAACGCGAGGCCCAGCAAGGGGGGTCCGATCCGAGGGATCTGCCCTTCCTCACGGGAGGAAGAGTTACTCGGGGTATCTTAGTAGGCGTGGGGGGGTACCCCCCCCGACAGGGCCGACGGGGGCAACCTCGCCTCGTCGTCTCGCCGCGACGGGCGTCGACGCGCCTTCGGCGCGCGGTGGCTGCCCGCGACGGGGGTCGATGTGGGGCTGTCGGCGGGGGTGACGTCCCCCCGACGCTTACGGATCAAGAAACTCGGAGTACCCATACCGCTACCCTTCGTCAGGTTTATTCCTTTTGGTCCTCCTGGGCGGCCTTCGTCGCCACCGCTGGATTCGCTCGAAGTGTGGTGCGGACACTGAGTTGGGGACCCTGGGATCCGGAGACCCTGGGATCCGACGTCGCGAAAACGATGCCCAATCGTGAAACAACATTCACCAGACCCCTAGGCGCCAACTCCCTGGGGCCCGAGGAGGGGGCGAACCAATGCCAGGCAACAGAGATAATGCCACGCCCAGGTCTCATGAGAGGCGGACCTCTCTTTGGACGCCCGGCATAGGTACGGAGACAAAGGCTTAGCGGCCGCTGCTTGGCAGGCGGCCTTCCGTCTCGAATGGACAATGCCCGCGGCGGCACAGACAGCGAACCATCTTCAAACGGACAGGAAGTGCTGTCGGTCTTCGTACCCGTTTCGATATCGGGCGGAACGGGGGGGGGTCTGACTCCTGGACCCCTGCTTAGTGCGACTGTTTGCAGCAGTGCGTCCTGCGGGGGAGGCTCCACCTCGAAACAGGCGCCAAACGACAGCCAAGATCTACTCCATGGGATGGGGGGAGGGGGGGGCTCTGGGGCCCGCGCCGATCGGCAAAACAGTGTACAAAAAACGATCACTTGTCGTACCTGTGTCGATCATACCGACCCCCGGGTCGGACACATCTTGCTGGGGGCCCGTGGGCCGGCCGGAAGGCCGCCGCCCGCTGCAGCGGATCCGCTCCCCGTCCCCGCGTCCAGGCAGTGGCGGAGCGTCCTGGTTTGCCGATGGGCGCGCCACGGAATGGTCTGAGAACCCGTGGCGGGTTGCGCGACATGTTTTTAGAACCTTTTGGGTTGAGGCCGTCCTGCTTTCACGCGTCGGGCGTCTGCTCCCCTGGCCTTTGCTACTGGACCTGCCCTCTTGGTTGTGACAGCATGTCGTGGCAGGCCTGTAGTGATGCCAGGACGGCTGGGCCCTACTCTTCCTGTGCCCCGGAAACGGCAGGGCCGTTTGTTTCAACCGTGTCCGAAAAAGCGTCTCTTTAGCATGGAAGCGGCAAACAAAACGGCGACCGTAAACGTCAACAAAAACGGCTCCAGGATCGGAGCCGGAACCGGAGAAGAAACGGCGACGGAACCGGCAAAAAAAAACGGCGTCGGAACCGGCAACAAAAATTGCCCCGTCGTTTCCAGGGCGCCCTGCTCAACGGTTCCCTTGGTCATCTCCGCCTCTGCCCTCTGTTTCCCTCGCTGCCCCCCCGCCCTCTCGACCTTCCCAGGCCTCTTTTCGCTGCGCGGAAACATGACGGCGGGAGCTGCTTGGCAGCTTTCCTGCCAGAGTGGGCCCTCACTGGGCCCGGGGCGGGACCCTCCAAGAGCTGATCGGGGTGCGAAGCGAGCCCCTGGGGAAAGGGCCTCACGAAGTCGCATATGGATGCTTCCCTCCCTCCCATCCCTCGCCGAGAAGGAGGAGGCATGAAGGCACAAGTTGGAGGGGCGGAGCTTGGATGGGGGAGGAGGGGAGGGCGTATGGGGTGTCAGGGAGAGGCTCTGGTTGGTTCCAGAGGGTCCCTGCAGGGAGGGGCGCTCGAGCATCGCTCTGGCGCCTCCCGCTGCTGCTGCTACTGTTGCTGCTCCTCCTGCTTCCTGCTCGCGGTGCTGCTGCTGCTGCTGCTGCTGCTCTGCTCTGTTCTGCCTGGTGCTGGTCCTGTGGGGAGAGGCAGGCTGATGATGCGCAGGACGAGGGCGAGCAGGAGGGACAAGAGGAGGAACACGAGACAGAGGAGGAGGGCCTCGTCCTCCTGCTCGCCTTGCTGATGCTGCTGCTCGTCCTCCTCATCCTCATCCGATGTATCCTCTGGGTGCATGTGCGTCTTGCTCATACACCTGAGTTCGAAGAAGCCACCGACCTTCCACGAGTGCGTTCTCATCATCATCACCATCACCATCACCATCATTGCCGTCAACATCGTCATCACCATTACCAACATCGCCGTCACCGTCATCACCATCATCACAAACATCAGTATCATCATCGTCATCACCATCATCATCATCATCATCATCATCATCATCATCATCATCATCATTATCATCATCATAATCGCCATCATAACCATTCAACTCGTTATCATCATCATAGTCAGCATCATCATCCTCATTCACATCATCACGACCATGTTCATCATGACCGTTATAGTCCTATCCATCCTCACCACCATCATTGTCATCAACAGCATGATTATGATCATCATCGGCGTCATCGTCATCACCATATTTACCAACACCATCGTCATCGACATCAAAGTCATCATCTTAATCATCAACAGCATCATCGCCATCGCCATCATGATAATCATGCTCATCACCAGCATCACCACTAGCATCGTCCTCATCGTCATCATAGCCACCATCATCAGCATCATCAGCATCAGCAGCATCATCAACAACATCACCATCGTCATGAATATCATCATCAGCAGCATCATCATCATCGGCAGCATCATCAACATCAGCATCACCATCAGCATCCGCATCATCATCATCATCACCATCATAAGAATCATTACCATTGTCATCATCGTCTTCTTCATCAGCATCATCAATTTTATCAGCATCATCATCGTCATCATCATCATCATCATCATCACCATCATCATCATCATCATCATCATCATCATCATCATCATCATCATCCGATGCATTCCCCGCTCTTGCCCAAACTGCTCTTCGTCCTACTCCTTGCCTCTCCTCACCCCTTCTCTCTGTTTCCTGCTTTATCGAATCATGTCCCCTCGTCCTTCTTCCGAACCCCCCGACTCCGGTCGACAGCAGAGGTCTCGACGCCTTTCCCCCGGAGCGGCATCTGTGACGGCCCCGGGGCCCAGCAGGAGCTCCCAGAGGCCGAAGACAGCAGGTCGTCCGTCGCTGCTCTTCTTGACCCGAGGGGGTCTGGGTCCCCTGCTCCCTTTGCTCGTGGCTCCCCGCCGTGCCGCTGCTCCCTTCTGCGCACCCCCCCCCCTCGACGCGTGGCCAGCTCCCGGCGCAGCCGGATGTGAATTCGAAGGCGGCAGGGGGGCCGCGCGACCCGCGTGGGCCCCGCGCGCGGTGTGACAAGCCGCCAGCCTCGAGCTCGTCCCCGCCCCCGAGACTGGCAGGGCCACCGCGGTGGCAGCATGGGCAGAGTCGACGAGCCCAGATCTCCGACGACCCGGTGTTGCCAGTCGCCGGCTCTTCCTCGAGTTCGGCCCTCGGGGGCCGTGGTCAAGCGCGGATCGGGGACGGAAACTTGGCCCTGGGTGAGGTCAGGGGGGGGGGAAGGAACTGATGCTGTTACTCTTCCATGGTTTTCACCTCGTTTGGGCCTCTCGGGATGCCTTCCTCGCCACGGCTGGATCCGCCTCGAAGCTCTGGTCAGAGCGCACCCTGGGAGAGGTCCAGGGAGTAGCGGTGTCTGTGCCTTTTGGCTTCCCCCGTGCGCCCTCAGAGGCTGAAGGAATCCTCTCGCGATCGGCTCCGAGGCAGGGCGACGCCAGTCATTGGGGGCAGGGGTATGTGATCCAGGCTTGTAGACAATTGCTCTCGCCGCCGCCTGCCGTTGAATCCACTGGAGTTTCCGCGCCTGTTTCCGCCGCCCCATCGGCCCTGGGCGTCGTGGCAAGAGCACGACTCGGGGGAGGAATAGGTAGAGAGGCCGTTGCCCGTCTTTCGAGGAACAAAAACAATCAGGAGGAAAAGAAAAACACAGACACAAATAATCCTCGATTCCTCAGAAAATATAGGAAAATATGGCAAGTGGGGGGAAGGCAGAAACCCAGAAAGTATAGGAAAATATGGGGAACATATTTATTTGTGTGTATTTATTTGTGTGTCCTTGGGCCCCTTGAAACAATTGCAAACAATCCTTAGGGATTGGGTCCTCGTTTGGAATTCCCAGCGCCGCGGTTCCTCCTCTCCCGCTGCCGCCTCCTTCTCATCACATCCGTGCTTCTGGTCTCCGCATGTCCTGATCGTAATCGTCATCAGCATCACTTCATCATCGTCATCATCCTCCTCATCATCACCATCATCATTATTACTATCATCATCGTAGTCATCAGCATCAGCATCAGCACCGTCGGCATCATCACCATCATCGCAATCACCGTCACCATCACCGTCGTCACCATCACCATCATCATCATCATCATCATCATCATCATCATCATCATCATCATCATCCTCATCATCATCATCATCATCATCATCCTCATCCTCATCCTCATCCTCATCCTCATCCTCCTCCTCATCATCATCACCAGCAGCATCATCATCCTCATCATCATCATCACCATCATCATGCTCATCCCCATCAGCATCATCATCATCATCAGCAGCAATAGCGACAGCAACAGCAACATCAACAGCATCATCATGCTAATCCCCAGAACGCTCGGCCAGACTATCCTCGACGGCGTCAGGAAGTGGAGCCAGAGTTTCCGGGCCGACTGGCATTGATTGCCGGACGTTTGCTGTTGGAGGCTTCTCCCAGTGGTCCGAAGAGGAAGGAGATCAAGGCAGTGATTGTCCAGGTGCTGGTGAAGGTCGGCCACAAGGACAGCGTCCAGACCATCTGGGCACCCACGGCCAGCACTCACCGCACAGCTACCTTCAAAGACGACGATCATGTCCAGGACTTCGTCACGAAGTTGCGGGACTTCGTGAGCAACGATGGCGACGCCGAAGGTTGCATTGGACTTACCTCGACAGACAACTACTAGGTCCTGCCAGGCACCAGAGCAGCGGGCGAAGTTAGCCAGAACACCACGATGATTTTGGAGGCCATGCGGACTCTCGACGCTAACCTGAACCACGTTCTCGTCTGGAAGCTTGCCGTCCGGGGAGTGGTGTGCAACAAGAAGCCGCCGGTGTCCATGAGCGACGAGGGCGACGGCACATTGGACATTCGCTTGGGGAGCTTCCCCCCGAGCATCGCCAGCGCGACCAAGGAGCAGGCCAATGGGGTCTACGAGAAGTCCACGGAGGACGCTGCGAAGCGCTCTCGCCGCCAACCGAGCAGCACAAGAAGAGCAAGAGGCGATGCTGGAGCACTGCGCCGGGGGAAGAGCATTGAGCACGTCGATGTCGTTTCACGGAACTGCGGTGGGGTAGCCGCTTCTCAACGACAATCCTTTGTCCAGGACTTCGGGCGGCAGGGGTGGCGTCCTACTGCTCCAGGAGTGCAATGCTACCGAGGAGCGCTTCTGCAACGACGTCCCGAGTCATTCCGTGGCTTCGGCACCTGCCAACAGCTGCTTAGGGAAAGTACGAACTCACCGTCCATGAAGAGCAACGGTGAGCAAGCCACCGCCTGTAGCGACTTCACGCTCGGCCGACCGTGCTTGCCCAAGCAGGCGAGCCAGGAATGCTTCGATGCCTCACCGCCGTCATGGACGAGGTCGACACGACGCTACAGGAGGAGGAGGAGGAGGAGGAGGAGGAGGAGGAGGAGGAGGAAAAGGTTGGAGATGGAGTCGGCGCGGTCGAAGGAACAACACGGACTCCATCCTCAGGATATGGGGAAGAGCACCCCATCCTTTCTGGAGAAACGGAACAAGAGCCCCCATCCCCAGGATCTGGGGGATATATTGAATTCATCAGAGGAGGAACAAGTACCGATACTGCTCTCCTTCCCTCGTCTCCTTCCTGTCCTGGCCTCCCGGGAGGCCCTCGTCGCCACGGCTGGGTTCGCTGCGAGAGCCGGGTCGGAACGCACCCCGGGCAGGGTCCGTGGAGTTCCGGTGGCAGCGATAATTACTTTTTGGCACGGCGTGCGGGCGGGCGGTCGCTGCCAAGAGAGGGCGCAGGGGGGCGGAGGGAGGTCCTCCTCCTCCTCCTCCTCCTCCTCCTCCTCCTCCTCCTCGGGCGTCGGACGGGGCGGAGGGAGCCGGGTTGCGGGTTGCACCAGGCAGGCGCGCAGCCCACGCGGCGTTTGCGGCGTGCGCCGTTGCCGCCGTCCAAGCCGCCCCCAAACCGCCATCCAGGCGACCAGAGCCCTGCACCCAGTCCGTCTGCGGCCTGCCTCGAGGAGGGTCGAGGCAGGAGGAGAAAGCGGGGTCCCGAGTGTCAGGACGCGTTCGAGACCGTCAGTCTTCAATCCTCGAGGCTTGGCATCGCTCGGACGTGTGCATTTTTCTTTCGGCGGGGACCATCGAGGAGCATCCTTGATCACTTGGCAGAAAAATAACACGCACGAAACCGACGAAAGCACAGGGAATGGACGTCCGAGCGATGGCCAGGAGGCGTCGTCGTGAGGAGCAGGGCCGCGGCAGAGAGAAGCAGTGGGTTGGCGGCGCGCGCCAGGAGGCAGCGCGAGGGGGGAGGCTCTTCCGAGAGGGCGGCGCGCCTCTCCGATGGCACGGGCCTTCGCAGAGAGGCCAGGGGGGCTTGTAGGAAGCCTTCTCAGCAGCTGGGAGGGCTTCTATCCAGGCCTCCTAGATGGCGTTTGAGCAGATGGGGATCGGAGGAGGGCGCCGCATCGCCGATGCACCGGCGATGCGGCGTGATGCGGAACCCGATGTGCTTCACGTCGACGGCGCCGATACATCACCCACGTCCCCGATGTGTCCTGGATGGGTCGCCGCTCTATCTTCGATGCGGCGCGATCCTCCGACCCCATCTGCTCGCACCCCATATATATATATATATATATATATATATACATATATATATATATATATACATATATACATATACATATAACGGCGCACCGGGTCCGGGGGCCCGGGGCAGGGACCTCGACCACAAATGTGGGCCCCGGGGGGCCCGGAGGCTCGTCGGACCGCCGGACGCCGTCCAAGATCGTTCGCAGGCGGCTTCGGAACGCGCTCCGATGGCTCCAGATGCCTTCCAAGACGCCTGTCATGACACCAAGAAGGTCCCAGAAGCCTCCAAGACGCTCCGAGAGGCAGCCCAAGAGAGGCCCAAGAAGCAAAAATCGTGCCATTCCTATTGGAAAACGTATATTTTTCGCATGTTCGCCTCTTGGGCTTTCACCGCGTCCAAGACGGCCCAAGAGGCGCCCAAGACCGCCCCAAGACGGCCCAAGAAGCTTCCAAGAGGGCCCCAGGACAGCCCAAGAGGGCCCCAAGACGGCCCAAGAGGCGCCCAAGATGGCCCAAGAGGGCCCCAAGACGGGCCCAAGAGGGGGCCCAGAGGGGGACCACGAACCGCAAGCTCGAGCCTTCCGCCCCAAGAGGCCGCCAGGAGGCCCCAAGGAGGCCCCTCAAGAGGCCCCAGGAGACCCCCAAGAGGCCCAAAGGAGGCCCCGAGAAGCCCCAAATCGGCCCCCAAAATGCTTCGAACCTGCTTCCAGGAGGCCCCCGACAGGTTCAGAGGCTCCCGAGAAGCTACGTCAAACTCCCAGCGAGCGGCCGGACGAGGCCCCCCACAAAATCACAAGAGGGTTCCAGTATTTGTATCCTTCAGCGCTCTCTGGCCTTCTTCCCCCTGCCCCCTTCCCTGCGACTTTCGTTGACTCAAGCTCGCCTCCTAGCTAGAACCTAAGCGCGCGCGAAGCGCGCGCGTGGTTCTAGTATATATATATATATATGTATATATATATATAATATATATATATATCGGTTGATACATATATATAAATATATAGTTATATGGTCGAGGATTTGGCGCCCCCCCCCCCCCCAATGCTAATGCCATCGCCCCCCCCCCCCCCCGCGCGATGCCCCCCCCCCCCCCCTGTGGGCGTGGGCGTGGCGTGGTGGCTCCCCCCCCCTGTGGATGTGGTGTGGGTGTGGTGTGTTGCTGTGGGTGTGTGCGGGGTGACGCCATGGTCCTCCTCCCCCCTCCCTCCCCCCCTGTGGGTGCGGTGTGGGTGCGGCGTGTGGCTGGGATTGGCGTCATGTTGACAGCTCCGGTGCTCGACGTCGTCGCCGCCGCCGCTGGTGGTGCCGTCGACGTCGTCGTCGTTGTCGTCGTCGTCGTCGTCGTCGTTGTCGGTGTCGTCGTCGTCGTCGTCGTCGTCGTCGTCGCCGTCGTCCTCCTCCTCCTCCTCCTCCTCCTCCTCCTCCTCCTCCTCCTCCTCCTCCTCCTCCTCCTCCTCCTCTCCTCCTCCTCCTTCCTCCTCCCTCCTCCCTCCCTCGCTCCCTCCCTCCTCCTCCTCCTCCTCCTCCTCCTCCTCCTCCTCGTCCTCCTCCCCTCCTCCCCCCCCCCCATCCCATCTGGGGGGCCCGATAACCCTGGGACCCATTTCATCTGCGGGGGGGGGGGGAGCCCGCGATCATACATATATATATATATATATATATATATATACATAGACAGGCGGCCTCTGTTGTGACGGGGCCCCTGTCTGCGCAGAAGCCCGCCCCCCCCCCCCAGCCTCCGCGGCAGAGCGCCCCCCTGCTGTCGAGCTGCCCCCCCCCCGGCCTCCGCGACGCTAGCGGGCAAAGTGGGGCCCCAGGCGCGCCGACGCGCTGGCCGCGGCACCGCGCGGTGGCGGATAGGTGCCTGGCAACCGCCCTCTCTACCAGTATCGAGTGGCCTGCGGCCCGTCCGCCACTCGTCGGCGAGCGAGTGAGGGAAGTGAGGGGGTAAAAAAGGGCCCTTCTCAGAAGGGTCCGAATTCCCCCGGCCTGTTGGAGAAATGTTGTTCTAAGCCTTCCCCGAAAACAGAAGCAACTTTAACTTTTTCAGAAGGCGCGAAGGCTTCTGAGAACTTCCGCCGCCTTCTGAGAAGGCCTTCGCCTTCTCATTTCCCCCCCTTGCTCGCCGTCGAGCCACCGTGCCTGGGTTGTGCGACAGACCGCGGAGGAACCCCCGGTGGGGGGGGGGGCACGCGGGAAACCCGGGTAGATTTGAGAGGATCTGGGGTCCGGGTCCCTCGAACATTTTTCAGGACCAGGGACTGAGGCTCCGGGGGGATTGCAGTCAAAACCCTAATAAGGACGCGCGACTTTGCTCAGGGTACCCTTGCGTCCTTGCTCTTCCTTGCTCTTGCGGCTCGTCCTTGGCCTCTTTCGCTTGCCCGCTTGTCAGGGTACCCTTGCGTCCTTGGGGTTTTCGTCGTCCGCCGCCCCAAAAATCCCAACTTCGGCTTCCAAGGGTCTTGCGTCCTTACCGCGCGTCCTTATTAGGGTTTTTGACTGTAGGCAAAGGACCTGAGATCACGCCCACTCCGTGCCCAGAGGCGCGGTGGCGGATAGTAGTAGTGCACGCCGGCTCACCCGCATCGCGCCTTCCCCCGGATCGGTGTCGCAGCACGAGCACCAGGCCGCCCGGCTGGGGCCAGATCAGGGGCAATGTCCGGGGGAAACGCTAGGGGGGGATAGTCTCAGGGGGGACACCGAAGTTTCGAGGTTCGAGGTTTTCGAACCTTTTTGTCGGTTCTCGTTCTGCTTTCCAGCCTCGGGATGCCTTCCAGCGGCTGCGCCTCGCCGAGAGCGTTCCAGGGTTGCCCAGATCGTGCCCAATAGCCGCTGGAGGCCCGAGTTATGGCCCGAAAGTCGGACGACGAGGAACACTATTTAGGGGGGAAGTCTGATTGACCGAAAGGGGTTTCAGCTAAAAGGAGGTGGTGGTGGTGCAATAGGTTTTGTACAATCCATCTGTGTGGTTGCAATACACTTGGGGCGTGCAGTATATTCCCGGACGACGTAAATATTTTGTTTGAGACTTTTGCGTGCCGTACATTAATTGCAATACGTTGCAATACAAGTCTCTGCCGCAGTACGTCTGCAAGACACTTGCCCCAAGTCTGTTGCACCCGCTTTCAGCTGGACCCCCGTCTTCCGGGGAAACGTGCCACTCGAGTACGCCAGAACTCGGGTTTGCCGACGCGTTTTGACCAGCGCGTCCTGCGTTTTGACGGTTCCGTTTTCGCGGGGTTTGCAGCGGGAGGTCGCGTCAAATTTCAGATTGGAGTTTCGTCATTGTCATGACGGCCCCGTCAGGCCAATCCGAGTCCCCCGAACCCGAGTCTCACGTCTCCCCGATTATGGGTCAACCAGAGAGGATCAGTGGTCGAGTAGTGGATCGGCCACGGAATTGAACTGCCCCCAAATGGATGATTTTGCGGAGCTCTGTCGAACAGACAAAAAGAAAATACCGTAGACCTACACGGCACATTCCCTGGTGTTTTGTCCGTCGATTCGACGGAAGAATCCGTTTTGGGGGGCAGCTCCATCCCGTAGCCGAGCCCCTGCTCGAGATGTGGGGGGGGGATCGTAGGCTTGGGGGAGGAAGCGTCGGGTGGGCCTCGTGCTTCGCGGAGGAGGAGGAGGTATTGGGGTTGACCCAAAAGGGGGTCCAGCGACAAGGGGGTGATGCAATAGATTCGGTGCAATATATTTGTGGGGTTGCAATACATCGGGGGCATGCAGTACATTTCTGGGCCGCGAATGTATGGCTGGATCTTCGCGCGCACTGCATTCCTCGCAACACAGTGCGATACATAATACAATTCTCCGGCGCAGTGCATCTGCAACACAATTGCCCCAAATCTACTGCACCACCCCCTTTTCAGCTGGACCCCCATTTGGGTCGACCAAAGGTATCCCCAGACACGATCGCGTCGTAAAACCATCCGCGCGGGAGGTTGCTGGCGGTGCTCGGCCCCGGGGGGCCCTCGCCCGGCCTCGGGGCCGGCACGTTTAAACGACTCAGGACGAAAAAAGCCGGTCCCGGGAAGAGGGTCGGAACTTCCAGGGTCGGGAACCTCGAGACGGGGGTCAGTGCAAACGGGGGTCAGCCAGAGCGCCCCGACCTTGCAGGATCCTGCAGGGCCAGGGTCGCATTGACCCGGGTTTGGGTGCAGGATCCTGCAGGATCTTGCAGGATCCTTCGCATTGACCCGGGTTTGGGTGCAGGATTTTGCAGGATCTTGCAGGACTCTGCAAGGCCTGACTGACCCGGGTCTGGATTGACCCGGGTCAGCAGGTCCCCGACAGGGACGCCGTCCTGAAAAAATCAGGACGTCACATGTCTGGGTCCGTACCTAATTGCCTCGACGCTGCGCCCGCTCTCTTCCCCTCTGTCGGGCCTCCTGGGAGGCCTTCGTCGCCACTCCTCCGGGTGCGCCCGATCCGAGCGCACCCCGGGAGAGGTCCGGGGAGTAGCGGTATCGGTGCGCGTTGGTTCCTCCATGTTTCAGGGGGGGTCCTCCCCGATGCGCGAATCTTCAGGAAGTCTTACACATAGACAGACACGACGGATCGTCGATTCCCAGGGGGAAAAAGAAAGTGTGGGCGGTGGTGGGGAAGACGAAACTCCAGCACATACATTCAGAGGCCAATCACATATGTACGCGTATGCGATGAGCTTCCGTTGGAATGCGTCTGAACGGGGACGTTCTTACACGCAGGACCGCAGAGGGCGTACATGTACATATGTCGTCGCTCGCTCATACATGGAAGGACATGGGGAATCCTGGGAGTTGTGTTTATCTACTCCGGATTCCATAACAAAGTGGGGGGGGTCACATTCGGGGCGGGGGGTCTAATTTGAAATGTCTTGGAGGGTTCAAGGGGGGTCTGGGCAAAGGGCCGCCCTTTCATGGATAGTCTGCAGGGGTCTAACACTTCTCGTCTGGGAGGGCTGTGACCCCCTTCCTTCTATTACGAAATCTGGAGTGTTCGTGTGCCCCTGGGCGCCTTGACACCTGGCGCCCACGCGCCATACATTCGGATCCGTAGTCTGCGTTGGCGCGTGTGCCCTCGCCGATCGGGGCCTGCGCCTCCCACGCCGCCCGGGAGCGTGCGGTGTCGCTGTCGAGGCCTGGCATCGCTCGGACGTGTGCATTTTTTCTTCGGCGAGGGCCATCGAGGAGCATCCTTGATCATTTGGCGAAACAACCACGCACGAAACTGACAAAAAAATACAGGGAATGGGCGTCCGAGCGACGGCAAGGGGCCCGTGCCTCCCTTTATCCGTACCTGCTCGTCAGAGCATGTTCGAGTATCCTCGGGAACTGCGTCGGCCCAGTCGGCCAACGTCTGCGTCGATTCGGAGACTTACGACGATGCATGGAAGGCAAACGCACATGCACTGAAGGCACACATGCCTGAAGTCACAGTTTCGGGCTTTCAGACTTCGTCCGCCTCCAGTGAGCTCGTTGCCTTCGGTGAGCTCACCGCGGCCCTCCTGCCTCGTCTGCTCTGGCCCCCACGACTGGGCGGCCTCCTCGAGCGGGGCTCCTCCCTCGATTGCGAGGAGCGAGAGGACCGCGGGCCATCGCGCGAAGAAGAAGAAACTCCGTGAGCGGTAACTTTCGACGGTCCGCGCGGATTTGTTGGACCTGCGGTGGGCGTCCTTGGCGGCGCCTCTGGCGCCTCCTTGGGCGCGCTCCTCGCACCAGGGAGTCTGGAGCGAAAGAAGGACGTGCACGCACTCGAATCCACGACGGTTTCAAGAGTACGCATTGCGCGAACGTTCGTAGCACGCGGCTGGTCTCGCGGATTGGGGGGCCGTGCTTACGTGCGTGGTTGGGCGCGTACGTTCTTGGTGGTCTCCACAGGGAGGGAATCCAGCGCCGATCCAAGAAAGTCGCGCGGGCCTCCGACAATTTCTGTCCATGGCGTTGTTTCTTCCTCTAGTCGTCCCTCGGGGAGACGCAAGACTCGGGTTCGCCGGAGCTCCAGTGCACGGGCGCGTTTTGCTGGGCCCGTCCAGGATCCTGACGGTTAAGCTTTGGTGGGACGGCCTCAGAGGGAGCTCTCGTCAAAGGGCAGATTTGGGGTCTCGTCATTTTTCTGACGGCCCCGACTTGTCTCGCTGGTGATCTGGGGATGGCTGAGCTCAGGGGAGGAGGAGGCTGCAGCACCACCGGGCGTGCCCTGTCCATTCTTCTGTGCAGCTCAGCATTTGGCTTCGGCGTCGGCTGTGGGTGCGCCGTGAGGCGCTCTCCGGCCAGCTCGCTGGAGTCGGTTCTCCGCCCACACGGGGGCCCCCTCCCCCCTGACGGCCCCTGTCAGCTCCACCCTCGCGGGTGAAAAACATATCCGTCCGCGGCCTCGCGGGCCAGGCTCAGGGGTCCCGACCTCGCAGGCGCCCCGCGCGGGGCGTGACGACCCGTGCGACCGCGTATCCGCGGCATCGCGCTGCAAAATCCGGACCCCGAGGGCGCGGGTACGATATGTTCGCCGCTCGCGACACCCGAGCCCCCCGAGCCCGAGTCGTTGTGCCTCCCCGAGCCCTGCCCCGTTCTTCGGAGGAGGACACGGCACCCGTACCGCTGCCCTTGCCTCTCTGTCCCCGCTTTGGGCCTCCCGGTGGGAGGCCCTCGTCGTCACCTCGTGGATTCGCCCCGAGGTCTTTGGTCCGAGCGCACCCCGGGAGAGGTCCCGGGAGGACAGTGGCAGCCCATGCCAAGAAACACCTTGCTTGCCCTCAGAGTGCCCTTGGTTTTTCTTGAGTTTGGGCAGTTCTGCGATGGAGAGCGTGACGCTCCCGCACCCAACACGTCCATGGACGTCCTGAAGGGCCACAGGCCTCGGCCTCCAGTGGAAAAAGCTTCCCGTGCGCGAGCTCCGCTCCTCCTGTGTGGCGGGACGGGTGCTTTTTTGGCTTCCCCCAGGCCTTGCTAGGGGAACGAAGACTGAGGTAAGCATAAGAACAATTGGAGGTCCGCGCGGGCTTCTCGGATCGGCGCTGGGCCCCCTTCCCTGGCACGCGGAGCGTGCCAGGGGCGGCGCCGGAGGCGCCGCCAGGGGGGCACCAGCGCGGATCGGAGAAACCTGCGCGGACCTCCGAGTTTGATGCTCCTGTCTTTGTTCGTTCCCCTACTTGCCCCGGTAGGGGACGGCGGGGCGCCACCGACGCAAATGCCAAGGTTCACCCGGGTGCTGCTGCGCCGCGGCACAAAAGGGGAGCTCTCCCTCCACGCGCCCTCCGCACACGCGCCCGTTCTTCTTCGGAGGAGGAGGGAGGAGGAGGGAGGGAGGAGGAGGGAGGAGGAGGGAGGAGGAGGGAGGAGGAGGAGGAGGAGGGAGGAGGGAGGAAGAGGAGGAGGAGGAGGAGGAGGAGGAGGAGGAGGGAGAAGAAGGAGGAGAAGGAGGAGCAGGAGGGGGGGGGGGGGCGCGAGCGAGCACCACGCAGGCGGCCGGCTGGCCGGGGGGGCATGCAGCAGGCGAGGGCCGGCGCGGGCGGCGGCCAGGGCGCCAGTCTTCAGGCAGTGGCGGAGCGTCCTGGCTCGCCGGTAGGCCCACCAGAGAATGCTTCAAGACCGTGTTTCGGAAGCCGGGCAAGGGCTGCTAAATCCGTGGTTGCTAAAATCGACCTCCGGGAAGTTGTCTTCGTCCTTCCGGGAAGAAGTCCGTTGACTGCTTCGCGTGCCGCGCCTCATTCCGGGAAGTTGTTTTTTCATTCCGGGAGGGCCGTTTTAGCAGCCACGGTTTTAGCAGCCCTCGCCCAGCTTCCTAGTGTTGTGGTCTGCGCGACATGTTCTGTGAACATGTCTGGCTGGGACTTTTTTTGTTTTTCATCTCACGTCGGGGTTATGTTATGAGAGCATTGCTTCTGTCATTAGAGCACTTTCGGGGTCTAAGAACATGTCGTGGTAGGCCTAAACACTGCCCAGACCCTCTCGCGCCGTGGACAGCAGCACGGCGGCAGGTTTTTTTTTCTCTGTTGTCGTGCCTTGGCATCGCTCGGACGTGTTTGTTTTTTTTCAGGAGGGAAAGAAACACACAGACACAATTCATCGGCGGTTCCCCAGAAAACATGGGAAAATACGGGAAGCGGGGGGGGAAGACCAAAACCCCGAACATATGGGAGAAAATATGGGACTATCTTTACTTGTGTGCATGTATTTGTGTGTCCCAGGGCCCCTTCACTTTTCTCGGCCAGGACCATCGAGGAGCATCTTGGGCCATCTTGTTGCGAAGCACTGCGCGCACGAAACAGCCGCGAGGTGCACGGGGAACGGACGTCCGAGCGCTGGCGAGGCGCGGCTCTCGGCCTCTCGGGGCCCTCGTCGGGCCCCAGGGCCGTCAAGAATGGTGTTCCTGGGGCCGGGGAGGCAGGGATGTCTTCGTCGAGTCGGTGGTTGGAGATTGCCTTCCCGCCCCCAATGTACCGGAGGTCGCCCATGGTCTGCGGGCTGCCTAGTCCCACCTCTGATCCCGCCAAGGCAGTGTGCAGCTGGCAGATGGAACACCCTCCAACGTTCACCTCGGGATGGAACACCTGTCTTGGGGAACGGGCTCAGGCCTCTGGCGGGTCGACGCCGTGGAGCAATTTGGAGCCCGTTTCTTTATTGCTTGGGGCACGACGGGCGTCATGGCCCCCGCTCCCTCCCCCCCCCCCCTCTATGACGTAACGCTCCCCCCCCCAGTGCGCTCCGGGCACTGCCGCCGTGCGCATTGGGATCCGCGTAGGCGTCCGAGTGGGAATCCGCAAAGGTGTCTGGTCCGCAGGCGTCGTCGTCGTCGTCGTCGTCGTCGTCGTCGTCGTCGTCGTCGTCGTCGTCGTCCGTCGTCGTCGCTCGTGGTTCGTCGTTCGTCATTCATCGTCGTCGTGCGCGCGGACGCGGCTGGAGCCTGTTTTGAAGTCCGGGCCGATGACGGCAATCATCTGGGGGTGGAAGGGGGTCGATGACGTCACGTTTCGCGCCGGCGGCGTTTGGGAATGCTTTGGAATGACGGAGGACGGGTAGCACGAACATGTAGGTGGCGATATGCACCACAACGCCTGTGTACATCACAGTGCCCGCGTGCACCACAGCGCCTGTGTACACCACACCGCCGATGTACACCACAGCGGCCGCGTGCAACACAGCGTCAGTTTGTGCCACCGTGCCTGCGGGCACAGCAGCTCATGTGTACACCACAGCGCGTCCGTACACCAACCACATCAGCCGTGCGCGACACAGCACCAATGTACACCACAATGTTTGCGTGCATTGCGTTGCCTGTGTACGCCACGGCGCCTGTGTGCACCACATCAGCCGTGTGCAACACAACACCATTGTTGTGTATAGAATTTCAGAAGGAATCCTTGTGACAAAATGGAGCGCGTGTGGATTCCAGAGAAAACAATGGAAAACAAATCTTTATGGACAAAGGAGCGCCGCTGGAATCGACGAGTCCCCCCGAGTCCGCCCGCATCACCCTAACTCCCACTTGCGTCCTGGAGGCTCCAGCTAAACTGGCCGTTCGAGAACCAACTGGACCGATTCAATCGACCATTCTGCGGTGCACGCTGAGATGCGCACGTGCGTTGGAAGGCCAAGCCGCACGACAGGGGGTAAGAAGGAGGAGGAGGAGGAGGAGGAGGAGGAGGAGGAAAAGGAGGAGGATGAGGAGGTGGAGGAGGTGGAAAAATAGGGAGGAGGGAAAAACGTCGCATTCGATTATCAGAACTTGCCTGGCGCGGCGTTCAGTTCTTCGCAGCAGATCCTGACGTACATGTTCCTTCTATCTGTCCTATGCACGCAGGCACTATGGTGTAGACCAGCGCTGCGTTGCACGCGGGCGCTGTGGTGTAGACAGGCGTTGTGGCGTGCACAAGCGCCGCGGTAAGCATTGTGGTGTACACAGGCGTTTTGTTGCACATGGCTGCTGCGGTGTATGTACACTGGCCCTGTAGTGCTCCCAAGTATTGTGGTATACACGGGCGGTGCGTTGCACACGGCTGTTGTGGTGTACGCAGGCGCTGTGGTGCACACGCGTGGCGTGGTGCACGCGAGCGTTGTGGTGTGCACAGGTGCGTTGGGCAGATCCCCACCTACATGCTGCTCGCGTCGTCGTCGTCGCTCGTCGCTCGTCGCTCGTCGCTCGTCGCTCGTCGCGTCGTGCGCGCGGGCGCGGCTGTGGTGCCGGAGCCACACGGCGGGGGGGGGGCGTCACGTCATACCCCCCCCCGCCCTCCCGCCCCCCCCCCATGACGCCCGTCATCGCCGAACATAAATAAACGCGCTCTTGAACGACGCAGAAACACGGGTTCAATTGCGCCGACACTAGCGCGCGCGGTGGCGGCCCGCGTAAGCCGCGGCGTGAGGTCGCTATGACATTTTGTGTATGATCCGTTTCTTTTCGTTTTTCAAATGACGTCGGGGACCCGTGGTAGGTGAGGGCAGGCTGGCGGCTGCAGGCAGCTCCTGTGCAGTTTTGCGCGGCTCGCGTGGTTAAGCCCGCCCATATCCTCCGTAGCCATTTTGGCGCAAGTTTGTACACAGCCGAGGGGGCAGGCTCGAGGGCCCCCACAGTTTTTCATGTCTCGCAAGCCTGCGTCAGCTTGCCAAGGCGGCCCAGGCTCAGCTATCCGTGGTCAGCCCCACGGACGGCAGCTGTCGAAACGTTCAGTGTGTTTATCGTCGGCTGACGGGGTCAGCAGCCAGGCAGGACGAGGCGTTCCGCCAGGGTCCAATCCAGAGCGAGCACAAGTGTCAACGGGTTGCTTGGGCGAAGCCTTGGCACTGCAAGCACAACTGGTCGTCGTCCACGGGTGATCGGTGGTGAAGCAGGGCCGACATGGACAACTGCTTGCTGTGTAAAGAGCACAAGGGCACGGCGCTCGACGGTATCAAAGAACAGTTGGATCAGCCTCCCCCCGAACATTTTCGCGCAGCTGCTGGGGGGGAAGTCAGGATCCGGAGGTCAAGAAGCTGCGGGCCGAGCCATCCAGGCTCAAGAGCCAGCGGTCGCAGCAGGGAGGTGCGCCAGATGCCATGGAAACCGACGACCTCGGCAAAGGGCCCGAGGCCGACATCAAGGGCGAACTGGCCGACGTCAATTCAAACCTTGCCTCGCTCGAGAACTCCAAGTGCACGGAGCTCATGGATGTTCGCGAGAAGTTGCGAGCCCGACAAGCTGGGTGGCGCAAGAGGCTCGTGGCGGGCGAGAGTATGGACACTAGGCTCCAGGAGAGTTCGTTCATTCACCAGAAGCAGGAGCTGCGCCAAGGAGAAACAGGAGCAGCGCGCGCTGGACCTCCGCGAGAAGGTGCGCATGGCGGCGGCGGCGGTCCGTGACAGCAGCATCCGGCTCGGCCGCGGCTGCGCCGGGCTGGAGCTCGTGGGAGGGCGCCGCCAGCTCGTGGCGCGGGTGCCGAGGCCGAACACGGAGCACGGGCGAGGCCCCGACGCCGGCCCAGGTGCTGCCTGTCATCGCGGACGAGGTCCCGGCTGGGCGGCTGGGGGAGCTGCGCGCCTCTTTCGGCGGGCCGGCAGACCTGGCGGGGCGGTTCCGCGGCTGCCTGGAGGAGGCGCGCGCGGCGGGGGCGGCGCACCGCGCCGAGGAGCAACGCCGCGCGGCAGAGGCGGCCGAGGCCGCTGCGCAGATTGCGGCCCAAGGCGTTGACGGCGCCAGCGCAGGCGCGGGCGGCGCGGCCGCTGGCGCTGCGGCCAGGGCCGCAGGCGCGGCAGCCGAGGTCGCGGCCCCTGGTCCCAGGGACGTCGAGCTGGATCCCCCGCGCCGATGGAGACCCCGAGGTGTTGCGAGCCTTCCCGGCGTCCGTCAACGTGCAGGTTTCAGACAGCGACGAGCTGCTGCGCGAGGCGGCCACGAGAACTGGAGAGAATCTTTTTAGTTTCGACAAGCAGCGGCGCAATGATCTTCGCGGCCTCGTTTGTCATAGTTTCACTGATGA